GTGTGGTAGCAGCATCTGAGGAGGGTATTGGAAGTGATCGATGTGTGTCTGTGCGTGATGAACCTCAAGTCAGTTCATGATGGGGAATCCGTCATGTGTATATTATAAAAGTAAACATTAAAAGTAAGCTCTGGTGTTTTGGAATCATGTTCTGTCATTCTTCATCTTGGGGCTTTTGAAACTAGAAAAGAAATGCCAAAAGTGCAAATTATGTGAAGGTCTTTTGATATTTTGCTGGCAATTTCTGCAAACTAGGTTTTGTAGAATGTAAATTTTTTGCCATCATTTGTTGCCAGTTTCAGAAAAGGTCCCATTTATTCTCTAGTTCTGATCTTGAATGCTTTATTTTAATTTATTAGAGGTATAATATGTACAGGATTTAACTACATTAATGAAGTAGAACCTTGGATATTTTTTAAGTTTTTTGTTCACTGTCAGGCTGCAAGAGTTGTTCAGAAAGGCTTTGAAGGAGTTTTTATTTCAGTTTTAATTTATTGTCTAGTGAGACTGAGAACTTTCATAGATCATAGCAATAAACTTTAGAGCATAACCTGGTTTTCAAATTAAAATTGATTTCTGAAATACTGATTCAAACATTCTACTATTTTCTAAAAAAAAAAAAATATTAATGAGCAATTCACTTGGTTGCTCCTCTAGGCAAGTTCCTGCTGGTCCCCAGATCAGCATTATACAGCTTCAGAGCAGGTCAATAATGTTTACAGGTTCGTTACGGTTCTTTTCGGGTGTCTCCGTCAGGTCATACTCATTCAAGGTAGATACTTGAAAGAGTATTCGATCTAGTGCAGAATTACCTTTACGAAATCTCATTCAGTTAAGGTTAAAGCTCTTCCTAGGGTTACTCGTGCTACTCGTTACTTGCTGTCCAAGTACATCAGGTATACATGGCAGGAGTTGGGAAATACAGCTGGATCTCACTTCCCTTCCCTTCTCACTTCCCGGGGAGCCAAGCGGACAGCACGCTGGACTTGTGATCCTGTGGTCCCGGGTTCGATCCCGGGCGCCGGCGAGAAACAATGGACAGTTTCTTTCACCCTATGCCCCTGTTACCTAGCAGTAAAATAGGTACCTGGGTGTTAGTCAGCTGTCACGGGCTGCTTCCAGGGGGTGGAGGCCTGGTCGAGGACCGGGCCGCGGGGACACTAAAGCCCCGAAATCATCTCAAGATAACCCTTTAGTCACTGATAGGTAAGACAACATAGTGGCAGCACCAAGATGTAAATAGGATTTCCCTGACTCAACCCACCTCACATTCTACCTGAAAGGGATTAAGAGTCAGTTCCCATGGTTGTGTGAAAATCATGGAAAAGTCCTGAAAAATTGGCATTTTCAATGTTAATTAGTTTGAAAATAGCAATTATAATCATGCATCTAAATTGTTCTTTACTCAACTCTTTATTAGTTGATAATAGCTTTTGTTAAATTCCTTTACATGCTTTTCAATGCATTGTCCTAAACTGAGAAGATCCTAGCTATTTTGTGTGTACATTTCCAACTCTCCAGGATCTTTATTGTAAACACTAGAGAATTTATTTATGGAAAAGCAGAAAATTATTATGGATAGTTTGAGGGGGAAAAAAATTTGGGTGGGAACCATGACAGATAAGAGAACAGATTATTTCCTCACATGCTACCTACCTTGAGGCTACCTTGAGGTGCTTCCGGGGCTTAGTGTCCCCGCGGCCCGGTCGTCGACCAGGCCTCCTGGTTGCTGGACTGCTGGTGCATTAGCAACTGGATGTACCCTAAATGTTTGCTTCCATCTCAGATGCTCACATCCTAGGAACATTTTCCAGGAAGCCACAAACATTGTAGAAAACTTGGCATTCTGGTGCTGGAAAAATGCTGGCATTCACTCGGTCTAGAACTAAGAGAGCCATACTGTGGATAAGTCCAGTATCATTCACACACACACACGATAAACATCCTCTGATAGCATAAGCCCACCATGCAATGAAATGCAAGTCTCGTAAGGATTAATAGAGATAATTTAACAGATATTTCAGTCTCTTCTTTCTTGAAATTCATGACTGATTAGCCAGGAAGAATGTGAAGCGAGCCATTTACAGGAGTCCTGTTTGTAGGTGTTGTCAGCTGGTGGCAATTTAGGGTAGTGGCCAAACAACACTATTAGTGATTGAACGCTTCTTGATGTTCCCTTTTTATGCCAAGTAAAACTTGCAAGGGCCATGAGTTTACTGTATCAGAATGAGCCTTCTAGAGTTGCTCTTGAGCTAGACAGAGTATTCTTCAGTGTCTTCCCTGCACCGATATGACTCAAAAAGGGTGTGTGAAAAGATCCTGCTTGATACCTGGTTGATGGGGTTCTGGGAGTTCTTCTACTCCCCAAGCCCGGCCCGAGGCCAGGCTTGACTTGTGAGAGTTTGGTTCACCAGGCTGTTGCTTGGAGCGGCCCGCAGGCCCACATATACCTGGTTGATGGGGTTCTGGGAGTTCTTCTACTGCCTCAAGCCCGGCCCGAGGCCAGGCTTGACTTGTGAGAGTTTGGTCCACCAGGCTGTTGCTTGGAGCAGCCCGCAGGGCCACATACCCACCACAGCCCGGCTGATCTGGAACTTCTCTTAGAAAACAGTCCACTTTTCTCTTGAAGATGTCCACGGTTGTTCCAGCAACCGTGGACATCTTCATCCCTGCTGTGTCAGTTGAGAATGTCGCCCTGCTCTGACAGTACTGTACGTGATGCTGTCCTGGGCACCAGCAAGAGCTTGTCCCAAGGGAGCATCTGAGTGATATTTCCTAGAAGGTAAAGCTAAAAAATTAATCAAAAGAACATGTCAATTGCATTTATATTATAATGGTTTTTATTTGTAATATTCATTAATCTTTTAAGTTTTAAAGGAAATAGTTTTGGTTTTGTATAATACTGTATAAATTTTAAACAAATGAATTCACTTATGCAGGCTTACTAGGCCGATTTTCCTCATGTTTATTCAAGCAAAATGTATCGGTACATTAGGTGCTTTTGTCTCGGAATACTGTCCCTACATGTTTACATATGAAGGTACAGTATATATAAGAAAGTAATTGCTTTGTATTGATCAACAACCAGTTGGCATAGATAACTACAGTAATCACACCTAACAAAAACATGATAGAAAGAGAGCACTCTTGTGTTTACAGGAAGAGAACTCGAGTGTAGTCCTGAGTGCTGGGTTATTTTTGTGTTTATTGTGTGTTTATAGTTGCAACCGTCCATACACGTGGGGTTTTGCCCCCGCCCTGTTTACGTAAGGCCATCTTCAGAAACCAAAATTGATAAATTTATACGTTGACCTTCGTTGTGATCAACAGAATGAGATAGTACTTGGATTTGGCATATTTACGTGACTGCTCATAGCTATGATAGGGTGAGCAAACTCTTAGATATTTACTTGTTGTGCTCCTACTCCGAAAATTGTTAGAATTCAAAACTTGCTAAATAATTTTTTTATTGAATTGGTCAGTTAAATTGTAAATTATTTCAAAGTTGGTTTCATAACTTATAAATTTAAAAGTAGATTCCTGGTTCAGCATGATAGGATTTAATTTGAATTACCTCCTGGCAAGTTAAAAATTTAGCCCAATTTTCTTTTTATATAATATGGTAAATTCTCTATTTGGGTGTCAGTGCCAGTCATCATATGTACCAAGAAATGAGTGTGTTAATTTGAAATTAAAAGTATCGGAAGAATTTTTTAACAAATGTTCACTGCCTTTTCCGTGGCTTAGCTCTCCTTTCAGTGTGCACTGTGTTTGAAACTCCTGTGAAACATGGTAAAGGGAATACCAGTTCATATTAGTATTTGCTCCTCTTTATTTCCTTACGCAGTGAGTGCATCAACTGAGTGGAAACTCTCAATTTACCCCCAACTTAATGAATGTCCAAGAGGAAAGTTTCAATTTCATCCCGGGTCTTCCCTAGAGACCAGTTCAAAACAACACCTTGAGACTTTGTTTATATCGTAATGTGTTGTTTTTCCATGTACAGTATTGGGTTAATAACCCTTAAAATTAATCGAGACCATTACACTCGTTAATTTTGTGTTGCTCTGTGCTAATGAAGCCTTAATATTAGACTGTGTATATATTATTGTACCTTTATTTTTATACACAGTAATACAGTTAATAGTTCATTATACACATCTCACTACCCCCTGCCCCTTCCCCCAAGATCCATACCAAATACTTGTCTGTCCAGCCTGATAATCTAGGAATGCTTCTCCATGTAAAATCAGGAGTCTTCTATATTCTGAGCAAAAACAAAAAATGTTACCTAGCAGTAAAATAGGTACCTGGGTGTTAGTCAGCTGTCACAGGCTGCTTCCTTGGGGGTGGAGGCCTGGTCGAGGACCGGGCCGCGGGGACACTAAAAGCCCCGAAATCATCTCAAGATAACCTCAAGATAACTCAAGATGTAGTATTTACTACAATATTAGAAAAGTTGGATGTTTTGGTTCTGTGAGTCACTGTGCTCAGATTTGTATGTAGAAAAGGTTTGAGAGGATATGCATGGTATTTGCGAACAACCATAAGTAGTTAAATAACTTGGTTAAGAGTGATGTGCTATCCACACACACACACATGGTAACATGCAGTGGAATATCAACAAACCTAATCTAAAATAGCTGTATTAAACTAAATTTGCATTCTTGGACAAGAGGTTAATGCATTGTGAAGAATATTCCTGTTAGTGACCACTAAGACACCTAATAAGCCAGCCAAGCAGCAGCCAGGCATACACTCGAGTTCTAAATGATGTGACTACAGAGGGCAATTCTGACTTCATTATAGTTGTTTTGTATATTCAAAGAGCAGAAGGCATGCTAGATTTTTTGTGGTGATCTTGCAAAGCTATTCACTATACTGCAATTAATGCAATACTTCTTGTTACAGGTTAGCAGTGAGATCCACTAAATGCAGTTATTTTCAATATAAAGAAATCACTCAAAAGAAATTGTTTTTTCCCAAATCCCTCCCAACAGGTCAAGAAGTGAGGTCGAGGAAAAGGACAAGAAATCTCGCCGGGATAAGGAGCGGCGCGACAAGGATAGAAGAGAAGAAAGCTCAAATCGTCGGGACTATAGGAGGGATCATGACAAATCTTCCTCGGCACACGATAGAAGCAAGTCCAGAGTTGAAGAAAGAGAACGCTTGGAACGCAGCCGAGAGAGAAGTCGTGAAAGAAAAGAAAAAGAGAGGCTCATGCGAGAAAAGGTAAATATAGTACAGTACTGTATTATGGTTCCGAGTCAGAATTTTTAAATACACTGTTATGTATCTAGTTATTGTATCCTTGATGCCATTAACCCTTTGAATGACATCTAGCCTTGTATTTTTCCTTGCGTTGATTGACACAACCTTAGGTCTTCACTTGTGGTGAAGACCTAGTGTTATTAAAATGAACAAATCCACAAGGGCTGTGACGAGGATTCGAACCTGCGTCCGGGAGCATCCCAGACACTGCCTCAATCGACTGAGCTACGACAGGGTTAAAATAGATCCACGGCCCTTGTGGATTTGTTCATTTGATGCATCACGTTAGTGTGATCTCTGTGTGTGACCTAGTGTTATTATTTTTCCATAACTAATCAAAAAATACTGTCCACATTTTGGCTTGAAATAAGCTTACAAATATCAAAAATTTCCATTTATTAATACAAAAAAAAAATGGAGACACTTCATTGCTTTGAAAGCTAAATCAGCATGCACCATCTGGGAGTCAAAGAGTCAAAGATGGAGAAATTTTTAGTCAAGTTTTAGTGTCTTTTAATTGCCAAAATTTACCTTTACCTGTATAATGCCTTGTCTTGTCATTTCCATTCAATTTCTTAATTTTTACAGATTCTTCAAGAGCAGGAGCAGAGAGAACGAGAATGGAAAGAAAGGGAGGAGCGTCGTAAGCGAGACTGGGAAAAGAGAATGGAAGAACGAAAAGAAAGGGAAAGATTACGCGAAGAGCGGTTAAGAGAGCGTGAAGATACTAGAGATAAAGAAAGAGACCGGCGCAGAGAGGACAACTTCAGAGAGCGAGAGAGAGACAGGGATAGAGAAAGGGAGAGGGAGAGAGACAGAGATAGAGACAGAAGGTAAATTATAGTACAGTACCTTGCTTTTTGTGAGAAACTAGCCTTCTAAAGTCCATGTTACATGCACATACTCTACATGCACACAAGGCATAAGGTTGGTAACAAAGGCGCTAGTTTCAGATGTGAACCATTCCATTAACAACCGTGTGTGTGTTTCTGTAGCTCCTCAAGATAATCTCTGGAATCAGGGTATGGCAGGAGCTTCATTTCCTTAGTTGCTGAGGTATTGGTAGCTTCTTGTTTCCCCTAACTTCTCTGGCAAAGGTGACCCCCCCCCCCCCTCCTCCTGGACCAAAATTAGATTAGATAATTTTTTTTTACCTAGTCTCTCAGGAAAATATAAACCCCCTAGACATGTTAGTAATATCACCCTCATTGACAGTATTTCACAGGGTTGAATCCTGTGAAATACTGGCAATGAGGGTGACATACATCTCCACAGTCGACATTTTCTAGTAGTTGTTCATCATATGATAGGTTTAAATTTAAAATGTGAATCTAGAGGATGGGGAAATACTAGGGTATGAATGATGCCTTAATATGGCTCTGATCATGTTGTTCATGATTTTCGTAGATGTACAAGAAGAGGAGAAACAGTTGATGTTTCTGAAAAAACTACTGAACATATTTAAAACAAGATTCTATTGTTTGTTTGTTTCAAATTTGCATTGGCATGGGTGTTCTTTCACCGGCTCTGGGCCCTGTTGCCTTTGAAAAATAAGGTTCCGAGGCTGGAGGGTGGGAAGTAATCGAAATGTGATGAAATCTCTACGTGCAGGTTCTTCTGGTGGTTCATCACATGATAGGTTGAAATAAACATTTTGGTTAGAGAAATTAACCTATATTGTGTTTGGAAGAATTTGGGTATAATGGTAACTCTTTAATATGGCTCTGATCACTTTTTAAAAAATTTTGTAATGAGGGAAATCTTAGGAGAAACAGGCATATCAGTGTTTGAAGGCATCTCAGGCTGCAAAGAATTGAATCTGGTGCTATATAAGTTGATGAATTGAGGTTACAATGTGTATGCAAATATTATGTACTGTACTTCAATATAACTTGATAATAGTAACGATGAAAATATATTTTTCTAGCCGACAGGAAAATGATTACAGCCGCAATCGGGAGATTGAGCGTGAACGGGAGAGGCAGAAAGAAATAATATTTGGTAAAGCAAAGGAATCATCAACTGAATCTGAGCCAGGAGACATTGATTTTGATGAAGATGAGGAGGAAGAAGAGCAGAAAATTGAGCGCATGAGGAAACAACGGGAGGAACTATACAAAGTAAACAGTTTACATGCATATTTCCAATTAAGTTTGCCATTATGAGTAAACTAAGTCCCCTTACACACAGATCACACTAACGTGATGCATCAAATGAACAAATCCACAAGGGGATTTGTGGATTTGGGATCTGGGGACCTGCATCTGGGATGCTCCCGGACGCAGGTTTGAATCCTCGTCACGGCCCTTGTGGATTTGTTCATAAGTCCCCTTAGTACAGTCGTCCAGACATCCTTCAAGATGTCTGTCATTTTTATGAACTATCCAGCTCTGAGACAATTTACTGGCCTGTAGACCACCAATTTCTCCTTAGCTAGGATGTCCCAGGCCTTCCAACATGACTTACTCCACCCCCAGTGGTAGCTACTTCTGTCTTGGGAACCTGACTCCAGCCTTGTTGCTCCTATGGTTTGCAACTAAAGTGTGTGATAACCCTGCACAGACATTTGCAGGCGATGAGTTACAATAACGTGGCTAAAGTATGTTGACCAGACCACACACCAGAAGGTGAAGGGACGACGACGTTTCGGTCTGTCCTGGACCATTCTCAAGTCGATCAAGTCGAAACGTCATCGTCCCTTCACCTTCTAGTGTGTGGTCTGGTCAACCTGCACAGACATTATTTCTGTATTAGATTGATTCTCTTCCAGCGTCTATAGTCTTGACCTTCCTCTACACGTTTTTTGGTCTGGCGCCTGCTCCTTCAATTCCACTACGTACCCAAACACTTGTCAAAGCAACTCATACTTTATCTTCTTGACTTTTGCCTGATTTTGAATAAATATCAGGTCTAGTGCTAGATCTCTCAGCATTACATTTCCTGACTGAATATCTTCTGTATATTTTTTTATATTTATGTGTATATTCACTTATCAGAAATTGGGCCTGGAGCGTGATTCTTCGCAAGCAACCCCTGCCAGTAGTGAAATACCCTCGGCCACCAACACTCCTAGGGACTCTCCAGCTCCTACGTCCAGGTACTCTACTTTATATCTGATTTATTGTGCTGTTTCGAGCTGCTTCTGTCATACATATTTGCAGTATTTGCCGAAGATATTACATTCACGCGTGCATAAAATGTCTCTCACACATCACTGCGGTCCGATAGTCAGCCTACTTGCAGGCGATGAGTCACAATAACATGGCTAAAGTATGTTGACTAGACCACACACTAGAAGGTGAAGGGACGACGACGTTTCGCTCCGTCCTGGACCATTCTCAAGTCGATTGTCACAATCGACTTGAGAATGGTCCAGGACGAACCGAAACGTCGTCGTCCCTTCACCTTTTAGTGTGTGGTCTGGTCAACTTCAGCCTACTTCTATGGTTGTGGTTGCTGTATTTGATTACTTTATCTTGAGTATAGCACTTGCTCGCCGTGTAATCGGAAGGATTTTACGAATAATATCAAACTCAATTTGCAGTAAAGAAATTGCATTATATGGATACAGCTAGGCTATTTTCACATTTTGTAAATTATATGTCCCTCTCAAAGAACTTGGCAAAATCATTGCAAACACGTTATCTATCATCCATTTTATTATAGTCTGATGAGTTCATGAAGTTGTGGATTAAAAAGGGGGATTGTCAAAAATACTGTAAACAAATGAAATTAAGCATTAAGAGAATGTATACTAACATAATCTTTACAGCATTTATTGTAATGTGAGCTTCATCCTTCATTATAGACCACCATCACAATCAAAATCAGAAGAGCAGCCTGCATCACCTGCAAAATCCAGATCTGGTTCTCCACGGTCGCGGGAGTCCAGCAGTGGCAGCAGCACCAGGAGAAGTCGAAGTAACAGCAGGCAGATTAGAAGCAAAAGTGGCAGCAGTAGCAGGAATAGCAGTAAGAGTAGAAGTAGAAGTAGTGAAGACAAGGAGAATCGGACATCAAAATCAGTGAAAAAGGAAAATGATAAGGTGGCAGAGGAAACTGAAAAGAATTTGGACAACGATGATGATGACGATGATGTTCCTGAGAAAGACAAGAAGAATAAAGACATGTTTTCTGACATGTTTGGTGACAATTTTGCTGTAGATAAACTAGGAGATATTCATTCGGGAGCTGCCGAAAACCCAAACCTCACAGACAACTGGGATGATGCCGAGGGCTACTATCGTGTTCGTATTGGAGAAGTCTTAGACTCGAGGTTAGTAATAATACCACAGTACTATAATAGGCATTTAACATAATGTAGGAGGGAGAACTAATATTATTAATTTCATTGTATGAATTTGGTATGCATATGACACTATAAAAACAAATTCTTCTGCTTTGATGCAGATTGAAAGTTGTAGCATAGCAAATTGCTATACATATTGTACAGTTCAAATTTTCACATTTCTTTTTTGTTCCTTTCTCATATATTTTCTTTAAAACATTTATCGGTGCTATTCACTTTGAAATCAAATTTAGTCTTACATTGGTAATTATTATTCTTTTTTTGTTCTGAATATTTCTTTTGAAATTCTGGGTACCCTATTGGACATGGCAGCCTTAGAGCAGCAAATCTAATGATTAGAAATTAAATTTCTGTTGCTTTCAGGTATACTGTGTATGGTTATACAGGTCAAGGAGTGTTTAGTAACGTTGTCCGTGGGAGAGATGCAGCCAGAATAGGACAAGATGTTGCCATTAAGATTATTAGAAACAACGAAGTTATGTGAGTATATCATAATTGTTTAACAACCAATTGAGATATGTATGTATTAACACGTTGTACTGAACGGGGTGAGAATAGCTTGAACTACCTCATCTCTTTGTGTGTATTTTACCTCAATAAACTTACTTCAATTTCAACCAATTGAGTAAATTTTCTTCTTGGATATATTTAATTCCCCATTGTTGGGGACAAGAAACTCTTAATTGTTGGCATTATGGGGTCCTCAGTCGTAACCTCATGCCCAAACATCTTGCCAGGCCAGGGCATCAAATCTGGGACCATTAATGTAATAATCAATAAATCAAATAATGCCCAATAATGGGCAGTATTGTAATAAATCTTTATATATTTGAGTATGTGATGCTCACCAGGAATTTTATTGTGCATTTTAATATTCTAATTCAAATAATAGCTATTCATACCTTTTAATTAGTCTAGTCTACACAAAAATGTTCATCTTATATTGTACAGGTATAGTTATACTGTATAATATATATAAAATGGTCATTATCGTTGTCATTACCCTGTTTTACGTTTTTGTTGTGTTAGGACGCATCAACCCGATGCCCGGTTTGCCCTTAATGGGAAATAATACTGGAGAGGGGCTCCGCAGGCCAGTCCTCCTTATTCCTGTATTTATGGCGTGCATTGCCTATTGCAACACACAGTTGCAGGTGCTGGAGTCGCCAAGTCCCAGTGCCTAATTGTCATAATTGTGTATTATAAACAAAACTAATATGTATCACCTTAAAAATAAAACCCAGTAAATTGTAACTTACTTTCTGAATGTTATTTACTTTGTACTTTCAGTCATATGTAGTAGATAAACAAAGATTTGTCATTTTAGTTTTTTGCATGTTTCATGTGTAATTTGAAATAAACTGAATATATTAAATCAAATTGGAAAGATCCGTGAATATTAATTCCTAGAGAACTGTAACAACAACAAAATTATTTTTTTCAGGCACAAGACTGGCAAGAAGGAATTAAATATATTAAAAACTCTAAATGATGCAGACCCAGATGACAAATATCATTGTTTGCGTCTTTATCGACACTTCTTCCACAAGAACCACTTATGTATGGTGTTTGAACCACTATCTATGTCACTGAGAGAGGTATTTACCTGTAGTTGACATGTTAGTTTCAAGAGTTGTACTCATGGGATTAATGTACAGCATTGTATAATACCAGCTAAAATTATGTACAAATGTGAAAGGTTTCTTTAACGTCTGAATTTGTTTACAAATTGAGGTCGGTTCTTCTGTAGAGATTATCTAATAATGACAATACTGTGCTTTTAGAAGTAACAAAGCTCTATCAAGACAATTTTATATACTTAATCTCCTTGTAGGTGCTGAAGAAATATGGCAAAGATGTAGGTCTTCATGTAAAAGCAGTGCGTTCCTACACTCACCAGTTGTTTTGTGCCCTCAAGCTGCTTCGTAAGTGCAATATTCTTCACGCAGATGTAAAACCTGACAACATTCTGGTGAGTACTGTTTATCTTTGGTATTGTACACTTTTCTTTGCATTTGAATGTCTTTTTGCATCCTTGGTACATTTTGCACGGAGCTGCATAACAAAATTTGTTGATGTTATCCTTATAAAAGGGGGAAAGTAATACTGTAACATAGGGGCTATCTTGAGATGATTTCGGGGCTTTAGTGTCCCTGCGGCCCGGTCCTCGACCAGGCCTCCACCCCAGGAAGCAGCCCGTGACAGTTGACTAACACCCAGGTACCTATTTTACTGCTAGGTAACAGGGACATAGGGTGAAAGGAACTCTGCCCATTGTTTCTCGCCGGCACCTGGGATCGAACCCAGTACCACAGGGTCACAAGTCCAGTGTGCTGTCCACTCGGCCGACTGGCTCCCGTCCGGGGCTAGCTGGCTAAAGCTGCAGGATATGAAATGTTTGTGATCAGGAGACATGCCTCCAGATGATTTGTACATTATCATTAACTTTGGCAATCATTGTTCTACAATGATTTTCTAAGCGATGATATGGAAAGGTATAATTGACTGGAGTTGATCTAGCATCTCATAAGATGTGTGTTCAGAAGTACAGTACTGTACATACTTCAGTGGTTAAGAGGGTTATTAACAGGGTTCTGAAGTGGGTGGAACAGGTCAGAACCCACAACAATGAGTGTGAGCGGGATTATTTTTGTTTTGGAAAGACTATAGGGAATTACTGTTTGGTGAATAGGGTTGTGAAGGAGTGGAATGTGCTTCCAGCTAAGATTTTGGAGGCAAACCATTTAAACTTGTGTTAAGAATAGATGGGATAGGGACTGTGCGTCATGTGTTTCTTATTAAAGTTAATTGCTTTGGCACTGGGAAGCCATATGCTTAATAATAGAATTATACACTATTGTAAAGAAGTTTATATAATTTTATGCATGTTTTAAAGTTTTATCATGTTTGCAGGTTAATGAAAAGAAGCTCGTGCTAAAGCTTTGTGACTTCGGCTCGGCTTCAAAAGTTACGGAGAACGAAATAACACCCTACCTCGTGGCTAGGTTCTACAGAGCCCCTGAGATCAGTAAGTAGGAGCAGCACACTCCTTAGTAGCAAAAAAAAACAAAAAAAAATCCAACAAATTGTATTATTTTAAGTTGATGAACAAGTGATCCAGATTGTATTGCATCCCTCTTAGAGGGCTCCGATGTAGGTGTGTTCAGATTTAGGAGGATGCTTTGTACCTACATTGCTTTAGCTCTTGTATTATACAATACATATACTGTATTAATTTTGTCCATTAACACATGTCATCAATTCCTTTATTTGCAGATTTGTTAATTGGGTGTAATTTTCAGCCACATTATTGTGACTTACTGTCTTCATGTATATTAATTATGGCCTTCTGATTCAAATTTCAAGGCACAAGAAGCATTATCCTAGATTTTAAACTCTAGCCACTTTTTTCCAACCATTACTTATACAGTAGTAGTACTATATGCTATTGAACTAAATGGAGGCTAAATTTGGATGGTCTATATAAATTTTGAATAAATTTATATGGTGTTAGTAGATGGAAACTAATATGCAATAGGGAAACCTTGAAGATGACAGATTTTTTAACTAAAGATCATTTGCAAGTGTAAGATACAGGGCATTACTAAGTTGTAAAATATATATCGTCCCGGAAATGAAGACTTGTATGATGATTGTGCGAAGGAGGACCCGCACGAAAGTATATGAAGCGCCACAAACTCAATTCATGGTGGATAGATTTGTATTGTCTTATAAAAGCTATTGAAGGTGAAAGGAAAGTCTCAATACATGCGTAAGTGTATTGAAAACAAATTTATGGATGCAGCCGACATGCTTTATCAAGGTGCTGTAAACATTGCTATTTAACATTGTTTACAGCCCCTTGATAGACGATGTAGGTTGCATCCAAACGTTTGGTTTGAGTCACTCAAGCACTTCAGCATGGTAGTAAGTGTCTCCATAAAAGCTATTATTCAATGAGAGCTGCTTATATATGATACCTTATTAATGAGGTCGTGTTTAATAATTGTCATTTTACAGTTTTGGGAATGACTTACGACTTTGGCATTGATCTGTGGTCTGCTGCGTGCACTATATACGAGCTCTACACTGGAAAAATCATGTTCCCTGGGAAGACTAATAATCAGGTAAGTTGAGAGTTTCTTCTTGTGCACTAGAAAAGGGAAAGAAGAAATTAACGTACTGAATGCTGGTACCACACAACTCCCTTCAAGGTGTTTTGCTATTATTTATAATGCTGAACAAAGCTGCATTTAGAAATATTTTGTTCGTGCGACTAACTTCCATTTCACAACAGGTGTAGTATGCTGCGTCTCTCAGTACAACAGTGTAGATGTGCTGAATACTGTTTTATTAAAAGTGATTGTAATCAAACCTTTTGAATATTCAACCTAAAAACTAAAAGTTTATGTTAAACAATATAGTCACTAATTGCTTATAATGTTCTTAGGAACATCTGATATTTATTACTTTTTCCTTTCTGTAGATGCTGAAACTTTTCATGGATCTGAAAGGGAAAATGCCAAATAAGGTGATTAGAAAAGGAGCTTTTAAGGATCATCACTTTGATGCAGCGTGTAACTTCCTCTACCGAGATGTTGACAGGGTCACAGAAAGAGTAAGTGCAAAACATGTCTCATATATATTTTTTAAATGTTGATGTAATATCAGCTTCTAATGTAACAGGAGGGTTAATTTTCATACTGTAGGCGAGTTTCACTTCTACCATTTACATTGTTTTGTTTGTATGAAAAGATTAGAAGTATAAATTCAGATATGTAAAACTGGTTTTAGTCTCTGTAGGTACAGTACGTCTCACTATTAAACTCGGACATTTCAGGAAAAAGTAGTGGTAATGCCTACTATTAATCCAACAAGAAATTTGCAGCATGAATTACTAGGGGAAGGAACATTACCAGAAGACCATACCCGCAAAGTGACACAGCTTAAGGATCTCATGGAGAGATGCCTCATGCTGGACCCAGTAAAGAGAGCAACAATAGACAATTGCTTAATGCACCAGTTCATTAGAGAAAAGATGTAATTTAATTTTGTCAAGTATGTATGGTTGTGATAAATTTGTCTGTGTTGGGAAACTCCAGTCAACAGGCTCAAACTGATCTTTACAATGTAGTTACGAGCGCTAGACGCGTCATTTAGTGTACTGTAAAGAAAGACGTTAAAATGTACAATGATCAAACGAAAGTACCGAGAGTTTTTTTTTTTTTTTTTAAACTTTGTGGGCAACAAATTTGTTTTGTTTAATTTGCATTACGGTACTTGACAAGTTGCTAATTGAAACATTAACAGTAATGTTTGTGGTTAATCCCCCTAGGGGCTCCAAATTACATTGTATTGAGCCTTTATTATTGCTGAGGAAGAAAAGTGGTGCAAGTGTTGTTTGACCTGTGTAAATATACCTATGAACTTTTTGTTATCATTCAGAGGAAATTTGTACACTGATGTTGATTCAAAGAGTTCATCTCATCTCAAGGATCAATTTTTTTAACACAAAATCTTGTACATGTTAAAATAGAAAATATTTTCTTGTAACATCCATTAGCCAGTGATGAGTTTTATATGATTGTGTTTATGGTTTGCTTTCATGAGTAATATGCTTTATGTAGAATTTTGTTCGTCGTACCTTCAGATATACAGAGCTCATAGAGTGTACATGAAGTATACCGATTGTGTGTGTGTGTGCTTATTATTAAGGCTTCAGATAATATTTCAACTTGTATATTATTTGCCTACTTCAATATTATAATAGAGTATGAATGCAATCTGTGTTTGAATGCTAAGAATAAATGCAGGAGATTTTTTTTAGTCTTTTTATTTGAAATTTTAATTTGTGAACCCCACTTTACAAAGTGTGTTTGATTAGTGTGTGTGTGTGGAATGGGAGGACTTTGGGAAAATATAAAAGTATAGAATTGTAGTAATGAGTCTTTAACACAGATTGTTTATTTTTTAATTTTTATTTAGATCACAAACAAAATAATCATTGTTTTTTTCTATGGCCATTTCAATGGAAAAAGTACTTGTTGTTAAGTAAAAATATAAATATATACAATATACATAGGTTAAAATATTAATTTCTAAACCCCAACAAAACTGGTATTGACCTTTGGCCAGATTCACGAAGCAGTTACGCAAGCACTTACGAACCTGTACATCTTTTCTCAATCTTTGGCGGCTTTGTTTCCAAAGACTTATTAAACAGTTAATGAGCTCCAAAGCACCAGGAAGATGTTTATTTCAATAACAACAGTTGAATGGGAAGTTTTCATGCTTGTAAACTGTTTAATAAATGTAACCAAAGCCGTCAAAGATTGAGGAAAGATGTTCACGTTCGTAAGTGCTTTCGTGAGTGCTTCGTGAATCTGGCCCCTTGTTAAGAACTTTTAGTATATAGTGTACACAAATGCTGTACCGCCTCTATCTTTCATTAAATGTCAAAATAAACAACACGTTTCAGGTTGGTTTAATATCGGACGTGGAAATCTAATTGGGCTTCCACGTTATTACGATTCTTATGGGAGGAGTAAAGCTTCCATGAAAAAAAAAATTTTTTGGGGAAAATCAGTTACTCTGCTAAAAGACAGTTTAACCAAAAGAAAACGTCAATTTACTAAGCCTTATAAAAGCCTTGATAATATATTTGATTGTACTGCATTAGGCATCTGGATTTGAAGTAATTGTACAGCAAGCATTGAAAGGAAAGGAATTATATATTTTCGTGTTACCCTATCTAGGAAAAGCCAGAAAAGGCTCTGCCAATCTTTTCCTGTGTTATGTATGCTTGTCAGTACTGACCGAGTTGCCAGGAAAGGATACAAGCCCATCAGAAGGCTGAGGACCAAGTTAAGTACAGGTACAGTGTTCCTGGCTCCAGGGAATGAGCTAACATTAATGGACCTGACAAAATTAGTAGGAGCCACGGGAAGGATTCAAACCCAGACACTTGATACTCCCAAGAACACATCCTATACCACTATCTTGCCCCAAAAAACTGCATTTAAAGTAATTCATGTGTAACTTCATTTAATCTTTGCTAACATACAAAACCTAAAAGCAAAGTCCCTTTGATAAATGGCTTCCTCTGACGAAAATGAAGTCTTTAGCGAATTAACAGAAACCCATTTTAGAGATTACATTGACAGTGAAGTTTAGATTGCAATGTACAATATAATCTGTACATGATAAAAGTAATCATGATATACAGAGAATTTGTAATCGAAAAGTTACTCGCTCACCTTTACACAACTCTCAGGATCCTCAAATTATGCAGTAGAGACAATAAGAATCGAGCAGACAACAAACCTTGCAATTATTCACACTGAAAACATACTTTTGAGCAAAGGATCTGCTTTAACAACCCAGTTCTTTGACTTCTGTCCTACACTTCAAAATTTCCAAATTGGATAGGATAAATAATAGTATACAATACTAGAAAACCTGGTAAAGAGAGGGAGGTTTTGGTTATAAAAGAGGAGGGGCGAGAGAGGAAAGGGAGGGGACGAAAGAGGAAGGGGGAGGGGACGAAAGAGGAAAGGGAGGGGCAAGAGAGGAAGGGGAGGAGGCGAGAGAGGAAGGGGAGGGGCAAGAGAGGAAGGGGATGGGTTAAGCGAGGAACTGCTGGGAACCTACCACAATACACCTCCCCGGGCTATGCTTGAGGCGTCGTACTCAAATCACGCAAAGTTGAAGTTGTTACTTTACTGTTGCCAAGCATATTAAAGAAAGACTACGCTAAAGTTGCTAGGCCGGCAATGTCACTAATAATTTCCCCAGAAATTTAGAAGAAATGGCTGGTGCCAGTCCAAGACCAGAAGTATTAGTTCTGCCAATTTAAAGCTAAAATGCAGCATACCCATCAGATATACCTCCAGGAGGACACGAGTGCCCATTGAGGGGGTGGGCTGGTGTACCCCCGGAAGGTGGGGACTGGTGTTACCCCAGAGGGGACAAGGAGCAACCCCGGGAGAAGACAGGTGTAACCCCCGAGAGGACAGGTGAGAAAAGGGCGACGACTCAGCCTTGGTGCATTTTTATACAATTAATGACACGGGTAATAGTCATCTTCCTGGAGCTGTGGGAAACTCTGCCAGCTAGGAGGCCAAAGACGAGCCTCGCCCAATTTTTCTATAAGGTTCACCTACCCTGTCAGGGTCTTGTGTCGTCCCCTGCCAGAGCACTAAACTTGTGCTGTTCTTTGAGGCGAGGCGCTGGTAGAAGACTATCATGCGTCTCACATCCACTCGCGTGTTCTTTACGATATCATTATAATCCAGCTGTGTCTGGCTACAAGTGACAGGATGAACAACCCAGCGGGTTTTCTTCCTTTTGGGGAGCGTTGTACATGCTGCTATGGCGGTGTGTCCACTCACAGGATGAGTGGCGCTGCCCAATACTGTCACTATGGCGGTGTGTCCACTCACAGGATGAGTGGCGCTGCCCAATACTGTCACTATGGCGGTGTGTCCACTCACAGGATGAGTGGCGCTGCCCAATACTGTCACTATGGCGGTGTGTCCACTCACAGGATGAGTGGCGCTGCCCAATACTGTCACTGGCGGTGTGTCCACTCAGGATGAGTGGCGCTGCCCAATAAACTCGCCCCTCCGGGCAAAATTAAAAATCCATCCAGAATGTGTAAGTGCAGGCTATGATCACCATTCTCATATTTGATTAGCCATCCTGCTAGATCCTTCGTGTAGTCTAGGGTAGCTGTAGAAATGAATATGTCTGTTAATTAACAAAAATACCAAACCTCTTACATGATCGATAACCACCCTCTTCTTTCAAGAGGAAACTAGATTTATTCCTCCAAGGATTGCCTGACCAACCGGGCTGTGGTGGGTATGTGGGCCTGCGGGCCGCTCCAAGCAACAGCCTGGTGGACCAAACTCTCAAGTCAAGCCTGGCCTCGGGCCGGGCTTGGGGAGTAGAAGAACTCCCAGAACCCCATCAACCAGGTATAGACCAACCAGGCTTGAATCTAACCAAGTTAATTCCAGAGTCAGGTCATGGCACAAAATAAACCAGGAGCTCCTGCCGCCGCTCATTGTTTGTGCTTCATTGGGTGTCTTGTTGCAGCTCGGCCAAGAAACGTGTTGATTACCAGAATTAGCGCGCGGTAATTGTGGGTTGGTGAGAGGGGCGTGATGGTGGTGATCAGGGCAGTGCTTGCGGGCGGCGGGGGAAGACATTGTCATCCCCCTCTTCTATCCCCCCCCCCCTGCAACCACCCTCTTCTCACCTCCACCATCGACTTCCTTCTCAACCATCATTCTCCTATTTCCCTCTACTCTTCTTTCTCACCCACAATATCTCTATCTACCCATTCCATCCTACTCCTTCTACCTTTCTCTTCCCACTTCCATTCCCTGTCCTTTCTACAGTAACCCATCTTCCTACCTAGCTACGTTATCTCACTTCCAACCCCCCCCCCCCTTCCCCCGCCCCTCCCTACTATTCTCTACCCACATCCTCCCCAGAATACTTTCCTCTCTACTTCTCCCCTATCCTCTTCCTATCCAAAATCCTGGCCAAAAAAAAAACAAGAACCTCCCTATCCTGCCCGAAACGCTGCTCGTACTAGTGGCTTTACAAGAATGTAAACACCATGCTATGTACCCTCACAAACCCAATGTACCTTCTTGTATATATATAAATAAATAAATAAATAAAGCATTCTTAGCCTCTTCCCAATACCCCTGTCCACACTCCGTCCCCAAAACCCTCCCTCTCTCCCTCTGGGTAATGACACAGCCTCCGCTACCTACTCATTACCACCGCCAAAGCAGCAGTTCATACCAACTCTTATATTTTCTGCTCACAGTCAATAATATTTTTTTAGCACAACGATAATTTCGGGGAGGAGAGGGAGACAGGGGGGGAAGATGGTACCCCGCTGGTAATTTTATTTTTATACTGTATTTGTGATAGAATACAATACTTTGAAACTACGCACAATTTGGAAAGTCCACTTTATAGCTGATCTCACCGAGGCAAATACAGTTTTTGAAGCCTTTATGAAAACTCAAGATTTCTGACTACCAGAGTACAGTCTTTTCGGGTGTGACACAGGCTGCTTATTAACAGACTATGTATTACCATGTTGACCAGACCACACACTAGAAGGTGAAAGGACGACCACGTTTCGACTTGAGAATGGTCCAGGACGGACCGAAACGTCGTCGTCCCTTCACCTTCTAGTGTGTGGTCTGGTCAACATACTTTAGCCACGTTATTGTGACTCATCGCCTGCATATTTGTTACCATTCCATCCTCCAGGCGCCACAGATTACGTGAAGCTACTTAAGGTTTGGTTAGCTAAGCTTGTTCAGAGTTATAGCCCCGCTCTTGTGCCAGGTAAGTCCACTACGGGTTCACCATAGTCCGTGCTACTTGCCCCGCTCCTGTGCCAGGTAAGTCCACTACGGGCTCACCATACCCCCGTGCTACTTGGAACTTTTTGTTCCCAGTAGCTGAATCTTAAACAACATAAGCTTGTTCAATTATTCCTTTGCCTGTGTGGCAAGTTGTAGACTTTGATTCTTTTAATTGTTCACATTTTTTGTTTACACTCTTGCTGCAATGCGTTCTATTGGAGCAAGAAAACGAGTTGCTTATAGTGGGAAGGTGCCCCTAATGCCGGCCAGTTAAGGCATGAATGATCACGGATGGAATTATGGCCTTGAGAATTGTTCACTCACAGTCACACTTATGGCTTCTTGTAAATCAGTTGTATTTTATGTCTTTATGTCTGTCTATGATTGCCTGTCTGTCTGCGTCTCTGTTTGCCTGCTTCTCTTGCGCACCTGATCACATCCTGCGTATGTGTTTGAGGTGACGAACATACTAATAACAATATAAACATCATCAAAGCCAATGTTGTGAAAGTAAATCCCAGAAATGTGAAGCAGGCACGTGGTCCCTAACCTAAAGTATTGGTACGCAGGTGTTCCGGATACAAGTACAGTGTAGGTACATAGGTGTTCCAGATACAGGTACAGTGTAGGTACATAGGTGTTCCAGATACAGGTACAGTGTAGGTACACAGGTGTTCCAGATAC